TTGACTAAATCAGTGTGAAAATATGCACTGGCAATGTGGGGAGTTTTCGGAACTATAATACGGTTGCACAACCCGTTTTACGTGAAGTGGCGCTGTGAAACTCGATGAAAAACGCGATATTTGCGGTGATATGCAGTATGAAATATATTAATCATATTACTAGGGTGAAACTCCATTGTCATCAACACATGTAATTCACCATGTGCAGATTTTCCCGACTAGACTTGGTATTCGCTGCTGTTATCTCAAAATTTTCGTGCAATTTTCAATTACGGATTAATTTTCCGTTGAATTCTAATTTTTCCCTGAAATTTCATTTTTTTTCTGTAAAAATCTTTCCTGGTCAAATTTCCAGGTTTTCCGTGAAATGTCTACTTTCTCTCGTAAAATTTTCTAGTTTTCCGTGAAATTTTAACTTTTCCTGGTAAAATTTTCAAGTTTTCCTGGTGAAATTTTAACTTTTCCTGGTGACATTTCCGAGTTTCCCGCGAAATTTATATATTTTTAGGAAAAAAAGTGGTACATCTCGGTGGAGATGAGATATGGAACGCCTGGGATACGCCAGCTCTCGAGGAATGGACGCGAAAAAATGGGTGAAAAACGAATCTGGTTCATATCAAAATGTGAAATTCCTTTTTCAGGAGATTCCATAATCGCACTGATTTGGTAGATTACTGGATTGCCAATACCATCGCTGGAATAAAGGAAAAAACTGGTAAGAAGAAAATTAATTTTTGAGATTTTTTTTGGGGGTGTTTTCACCAGTGTTGAAGTAGGAATATATGTTCGCTTTCCCCATTAGCTGAGCTCAGAAGAGTTTATATATAAATTTGGGTAGAAGTGCAATACAGAAACCAATAAGAATTTCCTCTCAGAATTTTAATATTATCACAAACTGTTACTACTACTTCCGATCAGTGTTGGAGTAGTAGGAATATATGTAATCGCTTTCCTCATCAGCTGCTGAGCTCAGAAGAGTTTATATATGAATTTGGGTAGAAGTGTAATACAGAAACCAATAAGAATTTCCTCTCAGAATTTTAATATTATCACAAACTGTTACTACTACTTCCCATCAGTGTTGGAGTAGTAGGAATATATGTAATCGCTTTCCTCATCAGCTGCTGAGCTCAGAAGAGTTTATATATGAATTTGGGTAGAAGTGTAATACAGAAACCAATAAGAATTTCCTTTCAGAATTTTAATATTATCACAAACTGTTACTACTACTTCCGATCAGTGTTGGAGTAGTAGGAATATATGTAATCGCTTTCCCCATTAGCTGAGCTCAGAAGAGTTTATATATAAATTTGGGTAGAAGTGTAATACAGAAACCAATAGAGAGTAGACAATTTTAAAGGCTACTCGAACTGATGTCTCGAGAGCTGATGTGCATCGATGCGAGTCGAACTAGGCCGTGTTGTTGTCGTAGGCGTTGGTCTTCAGATTTACACACACACTGGTTTTGAATTGTAGGTGCTGAAGTTTATCTATGGAATGATTTTTTGGACCAGCACACGACGCAAGCTGATGTGATAGATGGCTGGCAGACTTGGCTCTATGATATACCAAAAACGCTCAAAGTGAGAGAATATGCATATGATCGAAGACTGGAGTTTTACGTAAAGTGGTGAAAAACGCGAGTTTCGTGGTGATATACAGTAGTCGTGAAATGTTTTTCACTTTACTGGTTTTCATATCTCTAGGGTGAAACTCCAATATGAAAACTTTGAGGAAATTTGGGGTTTTTGTACATTTCTAGCGGAGTTTATATATGAACTTTCTTGGAGAGAACTCTTGAGCTCAGCTGAGGAAATAGAAGATATATATTCCTCCAGCAATGCGTGGGAGAATATGCATTTGTGTGTTTGTGATAATAGGACGAATACGAGGGAACTTCGAAATCTTGGTGCGTTTTACTACGTGAAGTGGTGTAATACTCCATGTGAAAAACGCGATATGAAGTGAATTAAAAATACTTGGCGAATGACATCTGGCAGATCACCCCATGTCACGTGAAACACTCGCAGTATTTCGCGAAAAACTCCGAGCAATCAGCATTTTACACAAAAATTTTTTACAATGAAGATTGTATATCTCAGGGAATTTTTTTTCTCGGGAAAAAGGCACATGAAATGGATTTTACTCGCAGATGTAAGTTTTTGCGAAAATCACATGGAGTAAATCGTAATAAACATATTCAGTGGAGTTTCACCCTAGCGATAT